GTTTGGGGTTTAGGGTTTAGGGTTTAGGGTTTGGGGTTTAGGGTTTAGGGTTTAGGGTTTAGGGTTTAGATTGAGTAGGTGTATGAAACGCGCGGTGTATTCATCAATTCTTTTGGATGCTAAACCCTAAACCCTCTTTCTCTGCTGCTGCTACAATTTGATATTCCTTAGACACGAACAAATTTATTTGTTTATTTGTTTTATTTATTTTATTTATTTTATTTATTTTATTTATTCTATTTATTTTATTTATTTTATTATATAAAAAAAATAAAAAAAAAAATACAAAAAACAAAAAAAAATAATATAAAGAAGAGCAACAACAATACTGATACTTTTACTAGTATTATATAATAAATATTTATTTTTTATTTTTTTATTTTTTTATTTATTTTTATTTTTTATTATAATAATTATTATTTTATTGTTTTATTATTATATTATTTATTTATATTTATATTTATTTTATTTTTTTTTATTTATTTTTTTTTTTGTTTGCTGCTGCATACACCCCAGCAGCAGCAGCTGCTGCGGTGCTGCTGCTGCAGAGGATCTGTGTTGTTGTTTATATAAAAATAAAAATAAAAATAAAAATATAAATAAAAATAAAAATAAAAATAAAAATATAAATAAAATATAAATATAATAATATTATTATTATATAAATAAATAAAACAAATGGAGCCGCCTATACACCCCAAACGCATGCATAGAACCAAGCCCCAATCCCTGCTGCTGCTGCTGCTGCTGCTGCTGCTGCTTCCTTTTATTATAAATAAATAAAAAAATAATAAACGAAGAGAGAAAATAAAAATAAAACAAATAAAACAAATAAAATAAAAAATAAAATAAATAAAATAAAATAAAATAAAAAAGAATAAGTTGCTGCCTGATAGATGCAGAAATACAAAAAGAGATAAATTTTATGAAATAAATAAAAAATAAAATAAAATAAAAATAAAATAAAAATAAAAATAAAAATAAAAATAAAAACAAAAGTTTAATTTATTTCTTTATGCTAACGCGCAAACAAACAAAAACAACACCAGCAACCCCAGCAGCAGTAGCAGCAGAAGCAGCAGCAGCAGCAGCAGCTACAGCTGCAGCAGTAGCAGCGGCTGCTGCAGCTGCAGCAGCAGCAGCAGCAGCAACGACAGCAACAGAAGCCGCAGCAACAGCTGCGGCAACAACAACAGCAGCAGCAACAACAGCAGCAACAGCAGCAGCAACAACGGCAGCAACAGCAGCAGCAACAACAGCTGCAAGAGCTGCAACAGCAGCAGCAGCAGCAGCAGCAGCAGCAGAGTTGCAGTCTCCCCAGCAGCAACAGCAGCAACAACAACAGCAGCAGCAGCTAC